ATTAAAATTTTAAAACACAATTTAGAGCTACAGTGTACCGTCTTCTGTTACAAAAATGAATCCACATTTCTCATTTCTGGGTTTGGGGTGCAGGGGAGGGTAGGAGGGAAGGGGAATGCTCAGAGAGAGAAGATATTTTATAATGTGGAGCGTGATTTGCCTTCGATCCCTCCTGTCCAAGCACTCATCACCTGTGCCTCATTCAAGGGCTTGCATCCCAGTCTCCCCACAACCCAGCGCGTTCACAACTGCAGGTTACAAGAGGGGGTTGGAGCAGGGCCAGCCTAACCTGCAGGCAGAATGGGTGGTTTGGGTGAGAGGTGTGATCTGAGAAGCTGTGGGTTGGGATTGGCAGGAGGGGTGGAAGTGGTGGACAGAGAGGACAGCTGAGCAGGAGGGGCAGAGTAACAAGCCACGGAGCAAGGAAGAGCCTGGTATGTTTGGCTCCTGCAAGTAGTTTTCAGTGGCTTTGTGTTTAATGGAAGGAAAGCAAGAGATGAGACGGAGAAATAGGTATCAAACTTGATGCACAACGAATATCTTTGCGGCCCAGCCAATATAACGGTATGTAAGAAACGTTTTAATAAAAATTTCATAACTTAATTTTTACAATATTCTGTTATACATCGTTATTAATAACAAATTACAAAGTCCGCTAATGACTGATTACTATAATCATATTGCATTCATTTCCCTTACGCGCCTTACACACAGGCACACTGTTTCTCTCCACTAATACTAGCAGCGAATATTTTAGCAGCTGATTGCCACATCATTAGTCCTGGACTGACTTGTTTGGTGTGCGCAACAGGAAATATGTCACTTTTGGAGAACCCTAGCAGCCCACAAGTACAAACTCAGACTGATTAAACTAGAATCTTGGAGATGGCAGATCCTAGGCTCCACATTTTTAAAAGCTTCTTGGTTGATTCGAACGAGCAGCCAGGGTTGAGAACTTTTGCTTTTAATGAATATATCTGTTTTAGGAAAACCTCTATTTTTATCCACTTCCTCCTTCTAAGATTTACATATTTTGAATTCAGTTATCTGGATCTCTGAACAGAGGTGGGAAATACCAGACGTGAGATACTTACAGGTATCTGTTTTCCCCCTCCCCTGCAGATTAATTGTAATGCAATGAATCTTGAATGCAAACTACAGACGCATGCTTTCTAGAGCATCAAGAGAGAGCCCGTTGAGTGACATATTGCCATTCTGCTACATTTTTCTGTCAACTGCTTCAAGTGTCACCAAAACTCCCGCCTACATAGCAAGGAGACATAATCCCACTGCTCTCTTGTCCGCAACTTTTTCTGCAGCCTAGAATCCTCTTTTTAACCTGAGCTTTTTTTTTTTCTTCCAGAGTAGAAAATGTTTCTACTCTTGCTTTTTATCAGAGGCCTTTTCTGCTGTCTCAGTCCAGCCTTATGTATGTAGTGGTTATAATATATCTGGCCACAAAACTTGGCTATCTAAAACCCTGTATTTCCCATAACTGACTCCAGTTTCTATCATGAGTCCTCATTCTACTTGATGGCAGAACTGGAAGCAAGTCAATTCCAGGTAAACTCAGTCCATTCAGGGTTTTTCTCCCTCCCTAGAGGGTTTGGAGGGGACTGTTAGAACATCTGGACATGGAGAGGGCTCCTCTGGTCCTTGGTTGTCATCTGTCCATGCTGGCATCCTCTGCCATGCCTTGTTCCTAGAAGTCACCAGTTGTCAGCATCTCTCCCCGCTGGCATCCACAGAGTCAACTGAGCTCCCATCTGGCTTTGGATATAAGGACAGTGCTGACATCTGCTCCTGGGCCCTCTCTTCCCAATACAAAGCATCTCCTAATCTGCCAGGCCTCCTTGAGATAGTCCTGAGCCTGTCTCACACAAGCGTGGATGCACGGCTGGCTACTCCAAGCTGGGAGACTCAGGACTGACCTGCAATGCTGAGATTTCTTACTCTACCCCCTCTGCGCCCCCCCCCACACACACACACATATCCCTATCCCCTCACACACAAGAGCAAAGGGCTAGACAGTCTCAGGCCTTGATCTTTCCTGGGATTCCCTGGGAGGACAAAGCAGACCCTCTCAGCCCTTGAGCCCCCATTCATCATCAACCCAGAAAGGGGCCAACTCAGGGTCGCCCCTTAGAGACACACAGCAGTCTTTTCCCTCTTCTCCCTTATTCCTCATTCACAGAACCTTCACTTATCAGAGCAAACAGGAAAAACTGCTGGCTTAATGTGTGGCTACAGAGTAGGGGCAAACAATAACCTTTAATAATTTTAATAAAAAATTACCTCAATAATTTTAATTAAATTTTAATGCACAAAATATACTTAAAATACATTAACACTTCAAAAATATTCTATTTTTTTCAAATGGGAACTTTTTTATTTCAAGAAAAATGATTTTAAATATAATAATGTTACATGCAATAAACATTAATATTTTAAGAAAAATGATCTTAAATATAATAATACATGCATAAATATTAATATCTCATGAAAAACGATTTTAAATATAATAATGTTACACGCAGTAAACACCAATTATTCAAGGAAAATGATCTTATATGATAATATTACATGCAATAAACATTAATATTTCAAGAAAAAAGAATTTTAAATATAATAATAGTTCCCAAACTGTACTAACATAGTATGATATCACGAAAGTTGTAGGAAATATTAAAAATATTATTCTACCACATCTCCTTGTCAGAAGTCTGCCTTCAATTCCCTCATTCTCATCAAGAAAAATTACATTAAAAACTGGACACATTCCTATCTAATAAAAGACAAAAGGGTAATTGACCGGACCTTCGCTACACTTCCCATTGGCTAATCAGGATGATATGCAAATTAACCGCCAACAAAGATGGCGGTTAATTTGCATACATAGGCTCCAAGCGGTGGAGCGAAGCCAAACGTACCCGAAGCTGGCCGAGCAGCAAGGCCTCACGGCTCTGGGATCAGCGGAGCCTCGAAGCCTGATGGCTCTGGCCGGACCCCAGCCGGAGCAAAGGCCTGGGTCCCGGGTGCCAGAGGAAAACTGGTGCCAGCAGCCAAGGGAAGGGAAGGCCTATTGCACGAATCTCTTCATGAAACAGGCATCTAGTTTGTTACTATAATAGCCAATATTTATTGAGGCTTTTTATATACCAAGCAGTTTCAAGTTCCTTACATTTATTACCTTATTAGCCCTCACAACAACCTGGTGAGGTAGACACCATTGATTACCCCATTTTATAAATGAGGACATTGAGAGTTGTTGCTTTCAGTGACTGAGTCCATAAATGATGGCTCTGATCCAAAAGCCCAGGTTCTAATCTCTATACTATCTTTTACGGACCCTGTGAATTACAGACCTGACCAGGTTTTTCTCTTGGTCATGGCTACTAGAAAGCTTAGCAATAAAAAGTGTATACATCTTGGAGTGTCTTTATTCCTCGCTGTTATATAGGGTGTCCCAAAATTCACGCAAGATTTGAATTTTGTGTGAGCATTAACAACAACAACAAAGCCTAATTTTACTTGGTTTATTGAATCAGATTCTAATATCTCTTGCCCTTTGATTTCAATCCCTTCAATTTGATAAGCATTACCAAGTACCAATTATGGCCCAGGAGCAGGGACAGTGAAGACCAATGAAGACCACGGCTTTGCCTATGTGCCAGCAAAGCCGTGGAGGCCATTTACCCGATGTGCTATTCCCTCCATAACCCTATACTGTATACTTTATGAATCAATAAAAAATTTACAGTTTTTAATTATAAACCCATGTTTTCTGTCAAAATTGGGACACCTTATATATCCCTACCTTTGTATTCTTTATTCTTTTTTTAAATTTCCTAATTAAATTCCCTTCCCATCTTTTATATATCCAGGTAAGTTGCCACATAGCCTTTCAGAAGAAGTCATTACATGCCCCTCCTTAGACTCTCATGACCTCGTCTGTCTCCCAAAGCTGCTTGCTCTGCCTTTATCACCCTCTGCCACGGGCCCTGCGCAGACTTCCCTGAGGCCCACCCCTCATGTCTCTACCTCCTCCCAACATTTCTGAACTCAAATGAAGTGCCAGAGAGACCAAGTGATGCAAGCAGGAATAGCAGGGAGTTTACTCTCTGTACGTTGCCTTTAGCCAATGGGCCACAGGAGATGGGAGGAAGACAGCAGATAAATGTGCTCTCTGTGCCTTTGTTCAATGGATCATTTCAAGGCACAGATTTTCTGAACAGCCCCTCCAGAAATACTCCATGCGCTCAGGCAATCCCCTGTACATCTTCAAATCTTGTGAAGAAGTAGCCAGCTTGGTATTTGCTAAAATACTCACTGTCAGTAAGTGGGTGGTTGTGAGGGTAACTTCCAGGAAAAGGTGGGTCACTTCAGCTGAAGGTAATTCTCCAGAGACGAGGGCAGCTGTGAGCCATTAGCAGCCAACGCTCATAGCATCTGGGGAAATGATGCTCTGACCTTGTAATGGGGTGGACCAATCAAATATCATCCACCACAGGAGATAAAAACAAGTGTATTACTTGGAAACTGATAGAAATTTGAGATATCAAGGGTCAAGTAGGCAGTTGAAAAGTCTATAACTCAGAGAAGGGGGTCTGAACTGGATATATATATTTGGTAGTGGTCAGTATTTAGATGGTATTTTTTAAATCATGTGGATAGCTCTACTGATATGCTAGAAAAAGCTCTAGCATAGTGAAGTAAAAAGGAAGCTGCAGAATAGTGTTTATAATACAGCCTTTTGTATAAAAAAGAGGAAAACTAAGAATACACATACATATACAACAGGAAACATTTGCATTTACAAAAGGAAACCCTGGAAGAATACACAAGGAACTAATAAAAGTGCTTACCTGAAGGGTAATGGGGAAGAGGTGCATATGGAGAGGAATAGGCATGAGACTTCTTAACGTATTTTTATATCATTTCCGTTTTCTAAGTTATTGCCTATTATAAAAATAAATCCTGTTTTAAATTCTGTTTTAAAGAAAGAAATCCATGTAGAGAGTTGAAATCTTCCATGAAGAAAGAAAGGAGGAGAGCGGAGAGCCCAGATCCAAGGCCTAAAGAAGATGGACATTTAG